ACCATGTCGGGTCGGGTCAAGTCTTACCAATTATAGTTATGGACTTAGACATTAATCCAACAGTAAGACCCTGGAGGGTTTCCAGGGCATCCTTATATGTTTGCATGTTTAGCTTCTATGTTTGAATGTATGGTTGATTGGTAGCTGGTGAGACCATGTGGGGGTTCCCATGGCAGTGGGCTAAGACCATGAGGGGGTTCCTATGGCACCGGGAGTAAGACCTTGGAGGGTTTCCACGGCTTCCTTATATGATTATATGCATGGCTTATGTGATTGATATGGTTTATGTGGATATGTAGCTGATACAGCTAATATGGATTATGTGATTATGTGGATTGTATGGGGTATGCTCTGGGGAACTCACTAAGCTTTGTGCTTACGGTTTACAGTTTTGGTTTCAGGTATCATCGATTTGGAAAAGAAAGGCTCGGATTGGTCGCAGTGCACACACCTATGATTTCCGCAATGAATGATTTTGGGACGAACTCTGATAAATGTTTTGCTTAATGATGATTTGAAATGTTCGAAATAAATGGTATCAATGTTTTAGCTATATTAAAAAAAATGAAATTTTTACCCTTGATTTTTGGGTCGTTATACATATCTCATGTTCGGCATGATGTCTGAGACAAAGGAATAATTGACACCAAACCTTTAGTAACAATTGCAGCTTAGAGCTCTTGGAAGTGGCTGTTGATGAGATGGAACCCTTCATATGTGTTAGGGGCAGTAGCTCGTTGCTAGACGTCAGGTACTGTCTATGTCAGTTTATAATGAATCTTGTGCAAGTGGGAGATTGTTGGATCTATATGCCCAAGAATCATTATGGAGTGATATTGCTAATAATATATGATCCTATAGGGTCACACCTTTATCAAGTTGGCACATTTTTTATATTTATTATTAATATGATTATTAATAAATAATATCGATTCTTGTATTTTAATTAGGGAAAAATTATTGTTTTGTGAAAATAATAATTGTAAGAGAGTATTAGTAGTTATTATTTCATATGGTATGAATTAATAAGTCATGCATAACACTTTGGACTAGTTGGATTCTTTTGTCTTTTACCTAAAGACAAAGTTTATATTTTATAAACTTGGAGTTTATAAAAATAACGAATCTTACTTTTTAAAAGGCATAATGATGGTGTGGGATGTTGTTTTTTCAACCTTCCACCTTTTGTCTCCCATGCTTCTAAAGGCTACCATTACTTTAGATTATTTTAATGGTTAGGCCTTACATTCATGGGCTATATAAGAGATGCATGAGGCTTGCATTTTTGCAAGAGTGAAGCTCTTCTTCTTCCTCTCTTTTCTCTCCAGAACTGTGGGTTCTTCTTCTCTTCTCCCTCTCTCTCTTTTGAAGTTAGTTTGGTGTTTAGAAGACCTCTTGTGTTGTTCCCTTTAGTGCTTAATTGAGTTAAGCACTTAAATGCTTTAGACACTCAAGAATACAATAAGGAACTACCATTCCAAGTGTCTTACTCTTGATGGTGGATAATTGTAGAGAAGATCATACACTTTGATTTTTTGTTATCTTCATCAACACCCCAAAAGTAAGTGGGTTCAAAGGCTTTAAAGGTTATCTCTAAAACATCCTATAGTTGGTTTTATTTCATTCTAACCTCTATAAATGGATCCATGATGGTTCGGTTTTGTTATGAACTAAAAATAAACTTGTTATTTTTAAAGTCTTTCGTTGCCATTTTTTATGAAAAACAAACTTTTATTTCGTATCAAAACCCAACAATACCAACCTGGATATGTTTTATTTATTCTGCACAAAACATGCAATCCAACCACATAAATCTTAAATTTTTGCAAACAGACATCAATCTTACATTTAACCGCTAATTTTAGGTGGATCGAGGTTCGTGACCGTCGCCACAAGGAGATTGATGTGAACGCAACATGTGGCTTGGATGCCGGGATGGAATTTTCTAATAGGGTTTTGCTGAGAAATTTGGATCGGGGTCTAGTGGGTTTGATTCCATATGTAGTCGGAGTTTTACGAGGCACAAATATTAGCGAGTGGGGAAGAAGGAGTTTCAAAGAGGTGATGGGTTTCCTGTACAAGATTAGCGAGTATGGAAAATGGAATTTCATGTACAAGCAACTTTTAAGGAGGCGGTCGTGGCTTAGAGAGGAGGTGGGTTGTTCGAATGGGTTTTGTGGTATCAAGAGGAGAGTGATACGGTGAGTGATTTTGATAGGCGCATGTAAGGAAAAAGTTTAATCAGTTTGTTCAGGTAAGTTTCATGTTCTCAAATATCAGTTTGAATTTTACTACCAACACTTTGATGAAACTATTTTCAGATTGAAAGATTGTTATATCGTAAGGTTCATAGATGGTACCTGGAATTGCATCATAACACTACTTAAAGAACACCATTATTGACAGAGATGTATCTGGATCGTCTAAGTTTGAAGTCAGAACGGGGATTAGAGAAGGTGGGTATGGACCAGTTTCAGAGCAACAAGTTTCAGATGTTACTAACATCTGGGTTTTCTTGATTCATTGTTTTTTTGTGTCCATATGCATGAAAGAGAGAGAACGGTAAATCAAGCTTCCTCTGTAGTATCTTGGGATATAGAGAGATTTCTAAAAATTTTAATAAAAAACAATAAACTTTTAACATACTAATACATCAGCACCACGTGGACCACTTTCGGTTAACCAAAATGCTATATGGATGCCAGCTCAACCAGGAAATCGGATGACCCCTTTATTTTGGGGATATTCCTTTATTTAACCTGTATTTTGAAAGTTTAAGGATTTATAATATAAAAAAATACTTTAGGGACCATTTAAGACAAAAGACAAAAATTGGTTGGGTTATGGTGACATTATCCCATTTCATATCTATAGTTCTATAAAATTATTAGGAAAATAATAACCTCAAAGCCATCATGGCTCTTACAAAAACCTATCAAATAAAAGCATGTATGTCAAAATCTTTTCAATGAATATAAACAATTTTTTTAACAGGAGGTTTCTTTAGTGAATACCAAAGCAACATAAGCTAAATTGAGCCACTAGGGTGCTTCGTGATCTTCTGAACAATCACTAATCTTGCTCTCCGTACATCTCTGCAACATTTATCCGAATGATCACTCAATTCATCGATCGTTTTTGCAAAATCATTCACTGTTTTCTTCATTTCATCAACAGCCATAGCCACCGCTTCTTCTTCATCTTCCTTGATTGCAAATTGGGCGTTTTGCATCAAACCCTGCATCTCAATCCCTAATTTATCCACTAAAGCTTTGATATTATCAAGATCTTTGATCACAATCAAATTCCCCATTCGCATTGAACTAATCATCTCCCTTTGCCCTTTCAATTCTGTCTCGTATTTCTTCCATAACGAATTAACCCACTTCCCCATTGACCCTAGCGGCACCGCCGCTGCAGCCGCCAATGCTGTCAGCACCGCTGGTGCAGCGACGGCGGCAGCCACCACAGAGCAGATTATCACAGTGCTGAAAGTGATGACGAATATCATATTGGTCAATTTCCTCCATGTTTTTGCTGATTTCAACTTCTTGTCTACTTTACCTTTTTGGATTTGTAGTTTTTTCAGCATTGAGAGTTGCTGTTTGTATACAGATTGAAACAATTCGAAAAATTCTTCGGAGAATGGACCTTCTAACGCTTCGAATTTTTTGAACTGTTCTAGGGTTTTTAAGTAATCGTTATCTCCATCGAACTGATTGATAGCAATCTGGAGAAATGATAAGCTATATCGAGCATTTTTCAAGCAATCCTCTAGTGATGTGCAGAAATCTAGAGTTAGGATACTAAGATCGAAGAAATCTTTAACTAAGGAAAACAATTCCTCGTTATTCCAAATGTCTTCTTTGGATTCGATTAGGATGTTGACTACTTCCTGATTCATATCGAGAAGACTTCCGGTGACTTCACGAAGGGAGTCAAGGGAAAGTGAACGGACCTCGACGCCGGTGGCCAGAGAATTTATGACCCGACTTGTTCGGTATTGAAGCGACGAATCCAACGACTGGAGATCTGGATCTGATCGGCAAGCATCTTGATAAGATGTTAGATCTGGACTAAGCTGCAATTTTGATATTGATGGAGTTCCAGATGAAGAAGACGACGACCCTGTTGGTAGGTTTGTTCGACTGCTGCCGGACTCTGAGCTGTAGACACAACCCATCGGCGATGGGTGCCTGAAAATCGATTAAAGTGAATCGAGTGATGAAGAAAAAGAAGAAGAAGGGATTTCTTTTGGGGATTTTTGTGTCGTTGATTAAAGGAGAAAGTTGGGATCTTTTGAAGATCCCATTTGCCGTTGAATCTAAAGTCAACTGTGTGTGGTGTTTGATTGGATTGAATTATATTTGATTACGACGGAGGAACACGGCGGAGAACCTTCATCTCTGACTAGGGAAATTACGAAAGTACCCATCGTTGAATTCTAGCAAGAAAAATATTCTCTCTGACTTTTTCAACTCTAATGTTTGGCGTTTTGTAGTAAACTATCCTTTATCGTTTTCAAGAAAATCTAGATTCGTGTGTTGAACTTGATAAATAATCTAGTATAAAATAGGAGTGTTCATACGATTTGAAAATGTTTTTGATACTTTTAGTGGAATTATCATGTATGTCGGTATATTGTTAAACAAAATCATGCTATTTGCAAAATTGGCAACGAATGGTGCTCATTATATAAAACTACATTTTTGTTGTTTTTTGACACATGTGCATGAAACTCTCCCATATTTTCACGCAAACGATTTTGGAAATAAAAATGACATCAAATCAAGTATTTGGCAAAATCATAGCATCTTTTGTGAAATGTACGTTTTCATGTTTTCTCTAAGTTATGTAGGAGAGGGTTAGTTCCTACGCGATGTGCTATTTGTTTAAAACTCCAAGATTCAAACTTTGGTCATCTATTGAAAGGTGCTTACCAAACCTTATATGGTTGAGCCAATAAGAGATGGTTTGTGGTGGTATCTCTACTTAACCAAAATGTTAGTTTACTCTACTTTTACATAAAAAAATGTTTTACATAAAAAAATGTTTTGCGGACCCAAATCACTTGGTGAAACCCCAAATTTATTTTGTGAAATGTTTTACAAGTTATGCTTTAAATTATTTAACATATTTGGTTGATGTGGTAGTATAGATCTGTAGAAAGTAAGGATTCTAGATGGAGGAATGAACTTCCGTTTTCTATATCAATTCAATCAAAGGTACAAGAATATATACACACGTAGTATACAAACAAACTATTAATCTACAGCCTATTATCCAGGATCTAAATAACATTTACATCTAACTACCCTTTCTTACTTTGCTCTCGTCAATACTCCCCCTCAAGGTGGAGAATGTATGTCCATCATTTCCAGCTTGTCAAGAGAGCAATGGAAGACTCCCACACACAACTTTTGTAAGAATGTCTGGAAGTTGGTCTTCAGAAGCAACATGAGGAAGCTCAACAGTTTTCTTTTCAAGTTGGTCCTTGATAAAATGTCTATCTATTTCTACATGTTTAGTCTTGTCATGTTGGACTGGATTATTGGCTATTTTCGCAGCAGACTCAATATCACAATGTAGTTGCATCGGAGCTGTTAGAGTTATCCCCATATCTCTTAAGACCTTTTTTATCCATAGGAGTGTTGGGTTTTGAGCATTCTAACACTCCTACGTGTACATGCAACCCTAAATACCTTGGATCTATGTTTTCTCTATTATACATGCAAATATGAATATTCCAAGATATTACCATATCTAGTATACAATCTTTGATACTTGGATAATAAAAACAAGTTTGAATACATACATTTTTATGTAGCTTGATTCCTTGATGCTTAAGAGCAGAGTGCCCCAAGTGTGACACCTCAAATGGTTCACACAACATCAAATACACTTGGAATAACTTAGAGAGAAATGAACTACTTCATGAAATCGGCTAGCCCTCACCATACACACATAGTTCTCTCATGGTTACCGATTTTGACAAAAATAAGATGCTTATATAGTTTGTCACAATTAGTGTTACACCATGTAAACCCTAGTTGTCATGACCTTTCATTTCTATGATCCATGGGTACAAAAACACCATGGAGCATCCATGGAGCATCCTATGGGTTTTAGCCCAACTTGATAATCCATGGACCATTAGCCCACTATACAAGTATGGATGA